TCTGCTGTGTACGGTAGCGATTAAAATAGAGTAAATCACCTTTTGAAAGTAATGTGACGTTTCAAATGAAGATTTATGATTACATTGTTACGCCAGTAGGTGGCGAAAAGGGGCTGTTAAAATGTATCTGTCTTTGAATCATACAAGAGATTCGTTCAAGAACACCGATTCATCCAGTAATGAATCAAGTACATCTTGAATGAGTCATTGAATCATTCGTTCATAAATTACACGTGATCTTGTTCAGTTGTCTGATGTTTTTTCTTCAGAACTGTGAGAGAACCACAATCTCCATTTAAAAAAAAACAACAACTCTATTTATCCAGAATAATGCAGCTCTATTTTGCACACAAACAGCTCTTAATTAAACGAGTCCAGTTTTTATGTAGCCTGCTGATTTTTGTTCATGGTATTCAGCTGCAACTAAATGTTTTGCAAAAAGAGAAGAATAAATGTGACCCTGGACCACAAAACCGGTAGGAAATTTACAAAATATCTTCATGGAACATGATCTTTACTTAATATTCTAATGATTTTTGGCATAAAATAAAAATCTATAATTTTGACCCATACAATGTATTGTTGGCTATTGCTACAAATATACCCCAGCGACTTAACACTGCTTTTGTGCTCCAGGGACACATATATGTTTGATATTATTTTTTTAATCACATTGGAATCGAATCGGAATCGATCAAATTGAAACGATATCCAACCCTACACTGGATCGCAGGGTTCGTACCTTGCTGTCGTTGTCGATGAGGCTGACGGCTTTCCAGTCCACCTGCAGGATCATGTCCTGCGTCCAAACCTTTCCTTTAGCATCCAGCAGACGCAGCTTTCTGACGCCGTCCTCGATGGTCAGCATGGCCTCCTTACGGTCCATCACAAACGTGGTCAGATGCTGCAGGAGACAAAAGTCAAGTCACCTTTATTGTTTCAAAGCAGGCAAAAAAAAACACAGAGCTTCTCAAATAGCTTTGCTTTTGGGGTTTAAAAGATGGTTAATATTCAGTAATATTATCAATATAACTGCATTGACACTATCGGATGAGAACAAAACATGAACCGAATTGATCTGAATAATGAGCTGCTTTACAGGTAAAACGGAATTTGTTTAATGTTGCAACATTAACACTTATTTTCCTGTTTATCACGGTGAAGCTGTTTTATAACAATCTGTATTGTATAAAGCGCTACATAAATAATTTTACTTGATGTCATGACAGGGTTAACTAAAACTCAAACTAAAATTAAAATTCAAACCATTAAAAACATTTTTGTTACTTGAAATAAAATAAATGAAGGCGACATTTCTCATTTTCATTTAGTTTAACTTCATGCACTAAAATAATTTACACTGATTAATAAAAACTATGCAGACATATATACTGCAGAAACTACTAAAAATGACTAAATGACTAATAGTTTAAATAAAATTAAAACGCATTCTAAATATTCATAAAAACTATAATAGTATCTCAATGATGCTAAAATAGCATGTTTGAATTAACAATAGATATCAAGTGGCAGCCAAATGTGAATAAAATGTCCTTAAAGACATTTTCATTCATATTTATACATATTTAAAGTGACAGTGACAGTCATTCTGTCATCATTTACTCTCCCTTATCCTGCTCAAACCTGTATGACTTTCTTTCTTCTGTAAAACAAGATATTTTGAAGGACGTTAAGGTCTAAACAACACTGAACCCCATTGACTTCCATTGTACGAACAACACTTTCAAAGCATCTTCTTTTACAGAAGAAAGCAAGTCAGGTGTCATCGGTGTTGTATTTTCCTGGTTTTTGAGGATGAGTTCTTGTCACACAACCTGTCCGTGTTGATGTGTGTCCAATTGTTTGAGTCTGAAGTGATCAGATCTTGGCTCATCTCAGGAGTCTGTTGATTTCTCAGTCTAATCTCCTGAACGGATGCGTGTCTCACCTCCACATGGTACTGTGATGTGTCCGTTAGGCTGTTGATGCTGTTTTTGGTGTAGTTCTTCCTTTGCTCTGAGGAAAGAGCAGATCTCGTTATATAATCAGATCCGTCAGAGACACACAAGCGCGTCCAGAGTGATTCTGGAGCTCAACTGAACAATCAGCCTTGATCTAGAACAGATTCCATGTGGACACACAAAACCGAACACATCAAATCACACGCATGTGAGGAGTTCATGATGCAGGACACACACACACACACACACACATCTGCTTCTACCTTTCTTTTTGTGTTTGGCAGAGGTGTGGAGGAAATACACTCCATCTGTTCCTGAGAGCGACGGTGCAGAGAAAACACACACACACACACAGTGACTGACATGTAGGTTTCTTCACTGTGACCTTTAACCTCTGCTGTGATGTGATACACACACAAACGCCCCCCCCCACAGTGACTCTGAGAACATCTCACATCTTCAGCATGACAGACAACGAACAAATGTCAAGAACACGTCAAAATCATACTTCACCTCAAAATCAAGAGAAATTATGCTCTCAATCAGTGTTGGGGGTAACGCATTACAAGTAATGCGAGTTACGTAATCAGATTACTTTTTTAAAGTGACTAGTAAAGTAACACATTACTTTTAAATTTACAGTTATTTTTTTAAATAAGTTACGCCAGTTACTTTGTTTTCCCATTTATTGACTGACAGCTCTCCTGTCCCCGTGTTGAGAGAAATCAGGAGTAACTGCAGAGGATTATTACTTTCACTTCTGGTGTGAAAGAGCACTTACATTTGTCAAAAATATAACTTTTGGGTTTTTTGTTATTAAAAACAAATAAATCCCAGCACAGGTGACAAAAAGTAACGTAAACGTAACAACGCATTACGTTCCATAAAAAGTAACTAAGCAGTGCAATTGTACAAATGTAATGCACTACTTTTAAAAGTAACTTTTCCCAAAACTGCTCTCAATAAAGCAAACAAAGCCTGTTAAGGAGGCATCTGGATTTTCATGACAATAAAATACATTTTCCACCCAATTTGATGATTGCACTGCAAAAATATTCAAATATATTATTTACACTGTATTTTACATCATGATAATATTTGTTGGCTTTACTAAAATTCTTCACATTACAGTATTTGTTTAATTGAGAATAACTGACTTGAACTGAATTGATCTGAATAATGACTCTATTGTCTTCTGTAGAGCTGCTTTAAATTGAATTATAAAACGTATAGTTCCGTTCCTTGATTCTGATTGGCTGAGCCGTAACCACGGCTTCTTGCTTTATTTGTTTGACTGATGAATTTTGCATCATTAACACTGTTATTTTCCTGTTTACACTGTGAAGCTGTATTGCATAAAGCGACTAGACTTGAATAAAAATGTATTATTATTATTGTGGTGAAATACGAGTCAGATGTGTTCTCATGCAAACACAGTAGAATATATCAATATGAATCTTTCGGGTGAATCCCTTCTGGGAATCAGACAAAAGAGCAAATGGCTGAACGTCTTCATCATGTTCTTCACGTCACACACTGAATAACACAATCCCATCATCCCTCCTGAAGCGCGTTGTCATGGTGACAGCGTTTCGAGGGTTCAGGGGTTCAGCGGCGCTGCAGTTCCCTCAGCGGACAGCAGGAGGACACACTTACCGTACAGAGCTTTACCACCCGACATTTTGGCAGGAATATCTGGAGACAGTGAGCCATGACCGCTGAGAGAGAGAGAGAGAGAGAGAGAGAGTGAGTTAGTACACTAGCGCTCATCCATACTCACACTTTCTCTGCTGTTCTTCTAGGATTAGTGAATTAATTGTGATGCATGTCCTGTCCTCAGTCACTCACGGCCTGAGTGTGTGTGTGTGTGTGTGTGTGGGGTTAATGAGTAAAGTGGACACTTGATCTGTTTCATTGTGTAAGTCACACTAATTGTGCGACAGATCAATAATGAATGTGTTCAATAGATCAGGAGCAGAGAAACATCAATAAAACATCAGATTCATCACACTCAAGTCACACCAAAAATCCCAACGATCCATCTAATAAATAAAACTGAGAGTTCTGGTCAGTGATCCAGTGAACTGCAAAACGCGATATTGATTCGATACAACCATTCAATAAACAAGAATTAATATTGTGTTACATTTTAGGCACAATGTTGTCTGTCTTTGATCAATTTTGCAAATGAAAATCCAATCAAAGCTGCGGCAGAACCGTTGTGAGTCTCTGATCAACACACAGCGGTGATTCATTACTGAATGAATCCACGGTTTTGAATGAATCGAGTGAGTCAATGATTCAGTGACTCATTCATAAAGACAGTTGCTGCGTCCCAATTCGCATACTATCCGTCCTAAATAGTATTCGAAAATAGAATTAGTATGTCCCAAAACGTAGTATGTTGAAATAAGTATCCCAAAGATTCCCAGATGGTCTACTACTTCCGGTTAGAATTTGAAGTGCAGATCGATGCACACTCTAACGGCTAATTAAAGCAATAAGCCCCGTGAAGCCGTGGTTTACAGTTAATTTATTACAGCTAAGGGGCGTTGGTAGGTACGACGCGGAGCTGTTATTAATTCACTGTACACCACGGCTTCACGGGGATTACTGCTTTTATAAAACGGTTATTCCATACACGTAGTAAGGTTTCACAAAATAAAACAGAGCAAATAAAGTGTAATGATATTAATAAAAACAATATTCTTCCACCAAACAATGTAGCGCCTCAGAAACAGTTGTGGTTGCAACAAAGTGGTTGCCGAGCAACAGACAAACGTAAACAAAGGTGTATGTTACTTTGTAGAGTAATTTACAACAGCTTCGAACACGGCTCAGCCAATCAGAATCAAGGACCGGAACTCTCCGTTTTATAAATTGCCCACAACCCATTGCACGTTGAACGAGGATTCGATTAGAACTATTATCATGCATAAAAACTGTTAAAAACTACAAACATGGCGGATATGCGAGACTGACGAAACGGGTAGAGAAAGGGGTTTGAATGATAAATAATCAATGTTTAAACTGATGAAAAAATATTTATTTAATGTTATCCGCATTATATTTCATCTGCAGCAACATTGTGAACTTTTATAAAGATACGTTTGGTCATTAACTTTTAAATGCATTATTATGCAAACACATGAGCAGTTCTCGGCATGAAAGACTGGCAGATCAACGTGCCTCTTTATTTTTCTCCAATACGGTAGGAAATGAAACGAAATGTGAATATGTGACAAGATGATTGACAGGGCAGTTTAAACGGTGACGGAATCCACGTAACTAAGCAACAGAGCATCCGTTAAAGACGCAGTTATGACGAAGCAGTGTGTCCCAAAGCTTCCCTACTATTCTCAAAAGTATGAACTTTTTCTCCAAAAAAAAAACAGCGTACATACTTTTAGGACATAGTATAAGTAGGCGAATCGGGACGCAGCAAGTTTCAATGAATTGGTAAAATGAATGATTCAGTGATTCGCTTTCACCTACTGGTGCTTTTACTTTCATATTTACAGTATCATTTCATAAAAAAAAAGAAGTAATATTTCAGTATTTATTTTTAAAAATCTCATTAGTTGTTGTGATTGTTTGGCTTACTTTATCTGTGAGGACTGCGCTGTGACTCCGGTGTATCCGTTCATGTCTGGACTCTGCATTGCGCTCACAGATCCTCCACTGCAACACAATAAAAGCAGCGTCAGTCACACAATCACACCGGCAAACATCCGCACACGGATGGGAGAAATACACATACGCCTTCATCATCATCATCATCATCATCAAAGCTGTCTCACTGCTCAGACAGAATGAGATTCACATATACCACTCATATTAATTTATGACACAATCACGGAATAAACATCAGATTTTCTGGTTTTGTAATCAGGAAATGAGTGCTGGATGAAACATTGTGGGAGGAGTCTGATGCTGTGTGTGAAAATCATGTGACTCATGATTAACCGTTCACACAGAGCGCGTTTAAAAATGTGTGACGCAGCGCTCAGGAATGTTTTTTTTAAGAAGCGTAGCGCAGAACGCCTCCTCCTCCATGCTGCTGTCAAATAAAACAGTTGCCATGCCAACTTGCTACTGTAAACAAAAGCATGCCCCGCCTCCAAGGTCTTCTGATTGGTCCACTGTTTTGGAACTGACATCGATGAGTGGCACTCGCTGAGCTATAATAGATTTGTGGCACTGCATGTAAAAGTTGAAATTCTTTTAACTTGACACGGCGTCTTAAAAACACGGCATGTACTGCAAAAAAGCGAAACGTCACACACATCCATCTAGTGCGTGTTTACATAGAAAAACAATGGAAAAGTAGCGCACTGGAATGGAAAAACACGTTCTGTGTGAACGACCCCTTACTCAACTGAGTTCAACAAACAAGTTCTCATCTAATGTTCTTTAATTAACTAACATGTAATCAGAGACATCTGGACTGGAAACAGCATGTGTGTGTGTGTGAGTGTGTGTGTGTGTGTGTGTGTGTGAGTCTTAAGACTGGTTTTGTGGTCCAGGGTCACATATTACATCACCCAAATATGTATTTACTTCCTTCTAATTCTGGTTGTCAGTGCAGGCTTGTTTAGCTTATATTGACCGTTATGAAAATTGATTAGTGGCCTGCATAAAAAAAGCCTTGAACATAAAACAGGACAAAAATATAGTTGATGACTAGACATAATCATAACTCTAGACACTTCTTTGTGAAGACAGTGGCATAATACAGTGAAATAATATGTTATTTAGCCATATAAAAACAGTCGTCATGTGCGTGGGTAAAATTTACCCGCTGGCGGTTTTAGGTATACAGCATCCGCTGGCGGTTCTAGTGTTAAAGCATAACTGAGAACAATTGGGAAATATTATATGGAGGTGAACTGGTGTTAGATAAGACCTGTGAAAAAATGTAAAATTTTGTTCGTGAACTGAAATTGAAGCACTTTTGGGGAAGATATCTGAACAGACAGATAGCCACTCCTCATTGCTAAAACTAGACCCAATGTCCTTTTCCCATATCACCCTTAAAGAGTCAAAGGACCAACATTAAACAGCATTGTATATAATTCAGATATCTCCTTTTTAAGAGTAAATGAAGAAAAAACCTGTTTTTCTATTTCAGTAAGATCAAGTTGTATATTACCTTCTTTTAACAGTAACTCTAAAAAGTGTCGGATTTGAAGGAATTTATAAAAATCTTTACTGGGCAGATTAAATTCCTGTCTTAACTCCTGAAATGATCTCATTTGACCGTCATCAAATAAATGACCTAACTCCGACACTCCTCTTGACCTCCAAGTCAAAAGGCAGACCAAAAATATAATAGAAAATTAGGTAGGGAAAATGCATGCATTTTAATGTACCCTTCCCACTTTAAATACTTTGTTGAGTTAATAAGAATATTGGTAACACTTTAGTGTCCAATTCTCACTATTAACTAGTTATTAGCATGAATATTACTGGGATATTGGCTGTTTATTATTACTTAAAAAGCACATATTAATGTCTTACTCTGTAAGGCCTTATTCTAAATCCTTAATCCTACCCAATTCTTAAACTTAACAACTACTTTACTAAGTATTAATATTCAGTAATTAGGAGTATATTGAGGCATAAGTCAGTTAATAGTAAGTTAATACTGAGAATTGGACACTAATCTAAAGTGTGACCAGAATAATTTATGTAGTTACATGTAGAATTAAAAGAACCGTTTCATGTCTATCCTTGTATCATTTAACTTGTCGAGGTTGCTATACGATTTAGAAAGTAATTAGTAATAAGTAATACTTTATTTCTACAGTAATCTAATTACACTGTTGAAGATGTAATTAGTAACTAGTAATTAATTACTTTTTTTTTAGAGTAACTTACCCAACACTGTTCATAATCACACCAGAAGTAGTAGGTCATCCGGCTACCTTTTTGTGAGTACTTTGAATTCAGACATACTTCTTTTGTCACATTCTGTTATCAGAGTTGGGGAAAGTTACTTTTAAAAGTAATGCATTACAATATTGCATTACTCCATAAAAAAGTATCCAATTGCATTAGTTACTTTTTTTGGAAAGTAATTCATTACGTCACCTGAGCTGGGCTTTTTGGCAGCTGTAAGGGCCCTTTCACACCAAAAGTGAATTTGAATCTGTGAATCTGATTATGTAACTTGTAATGCGTTACCCCCAACACTGCCTACTATACTAGGGAAGTATGCAATTTCAGATGCAGCTTATGTGTGGTTTATTTCTCCCTTGCTGCTCCTCTCGTCTGAGCTCAGGCAGCTCCGCGTCCGCGTTTAGTGCATTTGAGGTCAAACGGAGTCGAACTCTGAGATGATGAATGATCAGACAGTCAGTCTCCACTGCTCGTCTATAATTAGCCCCGCGTGGGCCGTTAGCAGGTTAATCTGGCCGATTGAGTAACGAGTCCGACTGACACAGGGTTAAACTGTCCAAGACCATCAGCCTGTGCGACGTCAATCATTGAGCCGAATGTAAACAGAGAGTTTATTCTGACAGATGAACACCTGCAGGGTTAAACACCTGAAACTGATCCTTAACCAGCACATCCCTAGTGAAAAATACATATACAGTACTTAAATGTATTTCACATACATTTATTTCATGCTAAGCATACTACAAATACATTTTTATATTTATGTACTTAATAAAATGTCCTGCAATTGTGCTTTTAGTATACTAAACTGGAACAACTAATTTTGTACTTAATGCACTTTAATTGTGCAGAATGGTGCTGGAAGTCCAATTAAAGATATTCTTAGTATATTTTATTGTGCTAAAGTGGAACTATTGCAAGTATACTTCAGGTACACTTTAAATATTTAGCATTTAAAATTTGATATTATTCAAAGATCATACAATCCTCATCAAAAGTGCCATTAAAACACATTTTAGACTTAATATTAAGAAAAGTGCATTGTGCACAAGTAATATGCCAAGTAAAGTTTAATTATAATTTTTATATCAGTAAGTCTCGAGTTATCTGTCAGTAAATATGTTAATAGATTTGAACTATACTTAGTATGAAATAAATGTATT